TGAGGAGCGGCTGAGGGAGTTGGGGCTGTTTAGCCTGGAGAAGAGGAGGCTGAGGGGAGACCTGATTACAGCCTACAAATACTTGAGAAAGGATGGTGATGAGGTGGGGGAAGGGCTCTTTACATTAGTGTTGGGTGATAGAACAAGAGGAAATGGGTATAAGCTTAGTCAGGGGAGATTCAGGTTGGATGTTAGGAAGTATTTCTTCTCTGAAAGGGTTGTCAGCCACTGGAATAGGCTGCCCAGAGAGGTGGTTGAGTCCCCATCCCTGGATGTGTTTAAGAATAGGGTGGATGATCTACTTAGCGATATGGTTTAATGGGGATTTGGGACGGTTGGACTCGATGATCTCTAAGGTCTTTTCCAACCTAGAAATCTATGAAATCTATGAAATCTATGAGTTTTTTGCCTGGCAGTAGTATGTTTGTAGCTCTCCTACCTGCCAAAGGTCCAGTCACCTTTCTTCCCTCACACAATCTAAACAACAAAAATCCCAAACAATAGCTGCACAGGCAGTAGCCACTGTGAAGCACAACAGATTCTTCCACAGCTGTGTGACTGCCCGCAGAAGCTGAGGTGTAAGTTAAGCCTTTACGAGTGCACTACATGCACACCCGAAATGTTCCCCGTATATCAACAACAGCATTACCACAGTTACTGATACTGAGATGGAAAAAGATGATGAAGAAGCAGCGTTCAGGTTTGTTTTTATCATTTGTAGCAAAAAGCAGTGCTGATAACACCAACCTCTGGGATGAAGAGTAGCTATCATGTAACAAGTAACTGTCCTGATGGTGTGTAGTGTTGCTTTTGTGGATGTGATGTTTTCAACGTCTTTTGTCCTTGGCAATCCTGACAGCTTCACAAGTGTATGTGGGAGGCACGGTCCTCCTGGGCATTCCAGGTCCGTACAAGAGGAGTCTCAGGCAGGTGGAAAAGACTTTTTCGTTGTAGGACATCAAGAGCATTCAGCTGGTGTTCAGCCCCGCACTCAGGCAGATGCTGGGAGAAAGGAGGCAAGATACGCTGTGAATTGCTCTGGGCTAGATGTGGAGCAAGACAACAAGCTCTCCTTAGAGATACCCTTTATTTAGCAGAAAGTACTAAGACAGACAGTAGTAGCAGACAGTGAGGTAGATTTAAAACTGGCCAGCAGCCAAGCTTCAGAGAGTTTTGATCAGTAGCACAAATTCTACCTGGAGACAAGTAACTAGTGGTATACTCTAGGGGTCA